AGATGACCGCTGCAAGTTACTGCTTTAATCTCAGCCAAAGACAGGCTGATCTTTATAAGTTCAAGGCCAGCCAGAGCTACATAATGAGACCCTGTTTAAAAAATAAGAAACCAGCCAGGCGTTGGTGGCGCACGCCTTTAATCCCAGCACTCGGGAGGCAGAGGCAGGCGGAGCACTGTGAGTTCGAGGCCGGGCTCGTCCGACAGCCTCCAAAACAATACAGAGAAACCCTGTCTCGTAAAACCAAAAAAAAAGAAAGAAAGAAAGAAAGAAAGAAAGAAAGAAAGAAAGGAAGAAAGAAAGAAAGAAAGAAACCAGGGCTGGAGAGATGGCTCAGAGGTTTAAGAGCACTGGCTGCTTTCCCACGGGTCCTGAGTTCAATTCTCAGCAATCACAAGGTGACTTACAACCACCTATAATGCGATCTGGTGCCCTCTTCTGGCCTGCAGACATACATGCAGGCAGAACACTGTATACATAATAAATAAATAAATCTTTAAAAATTTTAAAATAAAAAACTTGTTTCTCTACTAATATGGCTGACTTTTCCCTTGGTCATTATCCTCTAAACAATACAGTATAGCAACTATTTACATTGTATTATGTATTGTAAGCAATCTAAAGATGGTTATAATATAGGGGAGGATATGACCAGGCTTATATGCAATAGCCATCATTTTATATAAGGGACAAGTATTCATGCAGTTTGATATCTGCAGAGGGTCCTGGGATAAATTCTGAGGGTGAATGTACTAATGGAAAAGTTAGCAAGATGACTTTGCATGTAGTTCCAGAGACCCAAGTTGACAGTGACCTTTGAAAAGGCTGCCATGACACTCAACTCTGACAGTCATTCAAAATTCAAAATGAAAATGTGAAGCAATGTGTTCAGGAGATTTTTATGGGCCAGTCTTAAAGGTGTGCATACCATTTCTACTCACATTCTATCCTCTCGACCTCAGTCACATGGCTCTGCCAAAAGAAGGGTAGAAAGCATAATCTAGTTACTGCCCAAGATGGAGGGAACTAGGATTTAAATGAACATCTATCAGCCGATACCTCTCCTGTGGTCTGTGGAGTAGAATAGTGTGAAGTAGTCAAATTTTCTCTAGTCCAAGCCAGTTATTGTTCAGCTACATGTTGTTTAGATGTCAAATTTTTGACAAAAATATATTTTCTTTTTCTCTTACTATTTTTTTTGTTTCTTCTTATGGGATTTAAGCCTTTCTTTTTCCTTTACTATAGTGTTAGGAAAATTTTGGTTGGGAGCAAGATAAATATTAGCTATGTAACCTCCTAAAATATGTAGGCATGGGTCTGGAGTGATGACTCAGTGATTAAAGGGAATCGACTGTTCTTTTAGAGGACCCAGGTTGAATTTTCAGCTCCCTCATGGTGGCTCACAACCATCTGTAACTCTAGTTTCAGAGGATTTGATGTCCTTTTCTGGCCTCCAAGGGAACCAGGCATGCACAGGGTGCACACATCTACATGCAAGCAAATCCCCCAAACACATAAAGATGAATAAGCAAGTAAAGCTTAAAAATATGTAGACATGGGGCTGAAGACTTGGCTCAGTGGTTAGAGTACTGGCTGCTCTTTCAGAGGACTTGGGTTCGACCAATTCCCAGTACCCACATGGCAGCTCGTAACTACCTACAACTCCAGTTCCAGGGGATTTGACACTCTTCACACAGACATACATGCGGGCAAAACACAAATCCACATGAGATAAAAAGTAAATAAACTGTAAAAAATATGTAGACAAAATAAAATGGTCAAATATTTGAGTTTAATATAGGTTACTTGGTTACTGTAAATCTGCTGTGGAAATTAAACATATTTCTTATGTCTGGCACCCTTATTTTTATCATTTCATTGTATTGGGCTTTTTTATTAGATTAAGAACTGAAACCAGATTTATGACTTAAAAAAAAGCAAAACACAACAACCGATAGAGCCAGGCATTGGTGGTGATGCCTTTAATACCAGCACTTGATGGGCAGAGGCCGGCAGATGTTTGAATTCAAGGTCAGCCTGGTCTACAGAGCTAGTCCCAAGACAGCCAAGACTACACAGAGAAACACTGTCTTTAAAAAAAAAGAAAAAGAATAAGTATCCACTATTTGTTTTGTTTTTGAGTTTTGTGGGAGGATTTTTTCTTTCCAGGATCTAGGAATGTCGAGTATGCTCTTTAGCTTAAAGAAGAAGGCTCCAGGAGAAAGAGAAGAAAATGCAGAGTTATACTAGGAATGAATTGAGAATGTTAATGATTAGGCTTCTCTGTAAGATTAAAAATAACCAGATACTGTTGTGTTCAGCAAGACAGTGTAGAAGAAACAAGCTTTTGATGGGAGATTTTGATTAGATGGCCCTTAAAGCCCCATATGCAAATTCAGTTTGTCTGGGTAGGTCCTGCTAAGTGGGACTTGGCATAAACTACATCCCTGCTTTAGTATGGCTTGAGCTAGGATCCATCTTATTAGTGAAAGATTAAAATGAGGAATTTCTTTCTTTTGAGGAACAAAGTATTCTCTCAGTATTACATCACAAAATCTGATGGAGTTAGCACTTTCTCTAGCCACCCTTATTAAGCTAAGAGACATTCATTCCCCTCATCAATGCGTCTTCCTCTCCTTTCCCCAAGGGTACTAACTTATAACCTTCTTTGCCAGGAATTGGTATATTTTAGGAATCTATTTCTTCTACTCACTAGAGCTACAGTGAGTCACAGTTCTGACACCCTTCTTCCTTTGAAATCTGTAAGGTTCAAAGGTAGCTTATAATAAAGACTTTCCCTTTGCTATCCCCTTCCCCAGTGTTAAGAGAAGCTTTTTCTTTTGCTAGCCGCTTTGGTTTATCCCCCGCCAGTCGCCTGGGCTCTGCCGCGCCAGCCTGGTTCTAGATCCGCATGAGTCCCAAATAAACACACAGGAGTCTATATTAATTATGAAGCTGTTGGCCTTGTTTGTCTCTTACTGGCTAGCTCTGCCTTAAGTAATTACCCCATAATTGTTAATCTAAGTATGTTTCTTACCGGAGAATAGTTCCCGGCGTCCTTACCCCCATGGCGTCACATGTTGACTCTCTTGTGTTTCCCCTTCCCAGAATCCTCCTCGACTCCTAGTCCCTCCTATCTAGGTTTTCTAGTGGCCAGACAGTACTTTATTGACAAATGCACAGGCAAATAACAGGACTTCCCCAACACCCAGGACCTTCTGGGATCTAGACTTCTTTTTTGTTTGTTTGTTTGTTTGTTTTTGAGACATGGTTTCTCTGTGGCTTTGGAGGCTGCCCTGGAACTCACTCTGTAGACCAGGCTGGCCTCGAACTCACAGAGATCCTCCTTCCTCTGCCTCCCGAATGCTGGGATTTAAGGCATGCGCCACCAACGCCTGGCGAGATCTAGACTTCTAAGGGTAACTTTTTACCCTGTGAACCAGAGGAGGAATGTGGTTGGTTAGGATCTTGGGACTAAGTGCCATCCTTTGAGAGTTTTGAAACATTACTGTAAAGTAGGCACACGATACATGTACATAGAAAATTTCTCAGGTCAAGTGACTTAACCTAAAAAGAGAGAGAAGTAATGTTCTAAAGTGGTCTGGAGGTCACTTTGAATAGGAATAGAGGAACATTATCTAGAGACTCAGACCTGTCAATGTTTCTTGACATTCAGTTCCTGAAACATACATAGTTTGTTAAATTCTCTTCTTGGTCATTGTCTGTCTGTTTTAAGTCTCCACTTCCTTGTTAACTATACTTAGTGGCAGAGTGTTTGGCTAGAATGCAAACACTAGCATACACTAGGTTAAATCCTCAATACCGTGGAAAGAGGATGTTGAGGGACAGAAGACAGGAAAGAGGAGAAGGAAGAAGAGGAGAAAAGTAGAAAAATGAGTAACACGATAGGCCAAGTATTTTCAAGTCTACAGACTGTCAGTGAGGATGATTCCTGTGGGGTTTGCCTAGTTCCAAAATGTATATGTTAAGAAGTTTACTGAGTCATGCATTACTATCTTCCTATTCCATCAGCCAAGCTGGTTAATTCCACCTTTAGAAGAGCCAGGCCCATACGACATCTGCAAAATTGGTATGAAAAGTAAGACTATATAGGTGTGACATTTAACATAGCAATTAGCAGAGCTTCTGAGTACCCTTGACAATGACCTGCCCTTTTTATAAGGCACTGAAAATACAGAGATCATTTATTCCAGAATAAAGCTTCTTTCTCCTTACTTGCCCTTATAAAGGGAGGAAGATAGAAGTCCACATCACCAGGGCTCTTCAGTTCTCTTAAGTCATAGTTGGTCCTATCTCCATGTATTAGTTACTTCTCTATTACTATGATAAAACACCATCACTAAGACGATTTATTGAAGGAAGGGTTTATTTGAACTTACAGTTCTAGAGGGATAGAGTCCATCATGATCACAGTGGGGAAGTGTGGTAACAGGCAAGCATGGTGATTGGAGTTGGAAGCTGAGAGATGAAGGCTCACATCTTGAACCACAATCAGGAAGCAGAGAGGGCACAGCAGGGATATCACAGGGCTTTGAAAACCTCAAAGTGATGTACTTCCTCCCACAAGACCACACCTCCTGGAAGCAGCCTGCTTTCTTTTATGCCCCAGGATCACTTTCCTAGACACAGCACTACCTGCAGTGGGCTGGGCCCTTCCACATCAACTGTCAGTCAATAAAATGCACCACCACTTTTCTATGACCAATCTGATGGGGACATTTTCTCAACTGAGGGGCCATCTTCTCAGGTTACCTGAGATTATGTCAGGTTCACAAAGAAACTAAGAAGGACAATCCAGAGTAGTCTATTACATGTTGATTTATAGATCTGCCCTGACGATACCTGTGTCATCCTCACATGAGGCCAAGTTGGAGCTGCTATGTGAGGTTCCTTCATTACTTCTGTGGAGCCAGGGTGGGGGTGGTGGGAGAAGAGAAAGTGGCCTGGAAGTAAGACGCCTCTGCTTTCTATCCCTCAAGCAACCTCATAACATTCTGCAGCGGCGCCTCATGGAAACCAACCTGTCTAAGCTCCGGAGCAGTCGTGTCCCCTGGGCCTCCAAGACCAACAAATTCAATCAGGCAAAATCTGAAGGGCTAAAGAAGTGTGAAGATGATGACATGATTTTAGTGTCTTGCCAGGTAATGTTCAGGGAACAGCTTTTCTAAAACTTTCCAGAAAGTAGGACTTGGAGACCCTTTATAATCCCAATAATAGGCCCTCTCCTCAAAACGTTATAGACAGTGGTACTTAACATGAGATTAATAAGTGAGCTTTAAAGTTCTATATATTAGAAATGCATGTAGAATTTTATGTATGTGCACATCTGGATGGGAAGAAGTACCAAAGCTCTTGTCAGATTTACAAAAGGAGGTGCTCTTTTTAAAGAGCTGGGATGTAGTTCAGTGGTAGAAAACTCATCTAGCATGTTCAAGGCCCTGTATTTGACCCCGGAGTGATTTTTTAAAAGATTGTATATATAATATTTAGTATATAGAATGAAACCCCCAAAGTTCCTTATGGGTATTCTATCAGCCTTAGAGTTAGCAGGAAAAAGAGGCAAAGACAGATTTAGCAGTGAGGGAAAATGGGTCAGCACCGACCGACTGGCCAGTTGGAAGGTTTCTCTCAAACCATGCTTTTCATTTGACATCTGCTGCTTCTTGCTCTTTGCTCTTTCCTCTTGTTTCTCTGGAGCCTATTAAAGAGTATATTTCCTTCCCACAGTGTGCTGGAAAGGACGTGAAAGCTTTGGTCGACACCGGTTGTCAGTATAATCTCATCTCTTCAGCCTGTGTGGACAGATTGGGGTAAGGAGCCACATGTGCTGGGTGCACATCTGATGTAATTATACTCCTTGTTTGGATCTGGTTTAAGGTTATAGATGCTTGGATGTATCCACAGAAGCTCAGATAAACATGCAAAGTTTTTATCTAGGCCAAAACCAATTTCCTTAATAGAGGGGACAGCAGAAGAGATCCAGAACACGTTGGGCCTTCTGCTAACTTCTAGACGGTGGGTTGAGAGGGAAAACCCAGGGTTCTCCCTCTCCTGGGCAGAGAAAGCCATTCTACCGTACTGCCATTTCACTCAACATTTCCTGTTACTTCTTTTCTTCTCCTACTCTTCAATCTAAAGTTCTAGATGGTCCCTGAGGTATCTAGCCTAAAATAAGCAGAATCAACCTAGTATTGTTTCCTTTATTTCCCTGTAGAGACTAAATCATTCCTCAGACCAAATCTCTGCAATTAAACAGTTATTGAGACAGACCAAGTGGCCTGTTTTGAACTTCATCCAAGACATGCATATTCTCAAGTGAGCTCACCCAGGGCTTCATTTGGGTTTTTAATGACTGCACACATATCTTCTACATCTGCCTTGTTCCCACTCCCCAACACCGCTGTGACTCCCTGAAGTTGGCTCTGTGAATTTTTCACATTACTATCTAGGGTTGGGATAAAGCAGATTCCAGGACTCAAATGGGAAGAATCTTAAATTTTTTAATGTGATAAAGAGATGAGGTATGTACAATATGATGGTTCCAGAAAGACTAATAATGTCCTGGTACATAATTAGGCAGCAGACTGCCATGATTCTGGAGGAATTAATAACCATCTGTACAACTGCAATTCGTTTTCTTTTGGGTGAGCTGTAACACCAAAAGAGAGGAAATGGAGGAGAGAAGAAGCATTGGCACAGAAAGTCCATAATTAAGTATTTATCCACAAACCCATAATAGCGTGGGTGCTAGCTATTCCAATCAGCTTATGTAAGTGTGTGAGCCCTTGGTGCTGTTCCTTTCTTTCCTTTCTCCATAACATCCTTTGCTGGCACCAATATCAATGCACTCACCAAGTAAATGTCTGTCCCCATTAACTTCACAGCCTAAGACAATCTGATGGAAATAAACCAAAAGAGAATGGAGAGGGGAAATGGGACCCTGAACGAAGCCTTTTCTAAATTAGGATTAATTTTTCCTCTGATATCTGTTACACGGATGGGTAAAAGACACATTAATTAAACTACCTCACACACACATGGGGATGTTAGGATGCAAGCAGAATTCTCTGAATGTGTCCTCTCTTCACAAATGCAGGTAGTGATGTAAGCATTTTAAAAATAGGAAACAAGTCTCATGGTCTCTTTTGTATTCCCTTGGCATGTTTAGGAAAAAAGGTTGAAGCAAGTACAGGCTGGCTAGCCCAGGAAGTCCCGAGAGTATCCCTATTGTGAATCAGAAACCTTTGCCAATGAGATTATGATATCTGTGTTTCAGACTAAAGGACCATGTCAAATCTCACAAGCATGAAGGAGAAAAGCTTTCTCTACCACGGCATCTCAAAGTAGTCGGCCAGATTGAGCACCTACTGATTACAGTGGGCTCTCTCCGTCTGGATTGCCCAGCAGCTGTTGTTGGTGAGTTAAATTGGGGACTAGACCCATGTACCTAACATAAACCTCTCTGAGGTCTCATGGCTGTAATACTGACTTCTTCCAAATAAAATGTTCCTATTTCCTTGTGCTGTATACCTTTGTGCTAATTTTACCCTTCCAAGTGTAGTAATTAAAGTGCCACCATACCCAGAACACTTTGGGGGGGTGTTTTTTAATTTTTTTCTTGAAACAGGGTCTTTCTAAATAGTCCTATCTATCCTGGAGCTCACTATGCAAACAAAGCTGGCCTTGAACTCACAGAGATTCTCCTGTCCCTCCTCCCGAGTGCTGGGATCAAAAGCATACACAAACATGTTCAGCCCAGAACATTATTTTTTAAATATTTAAATATGTATTTACTGGGGACTGGGAGATGGCTCAGTGGTTTAGAGTATTTCCTACTCTTGCAGTAGACTCAGGTTAGGTTCCCAGCATCTACATAGGATGGCTCACAACCATCTGTGACTCCAGTTCCAAGGGATCTGACACCGTCTTCTGATGTCCTCAGGCTCCTGTACACATATGTGGTTTATACACATAAACACTAAATAAAGAAATCTTTAAAAATGAGATGGGGCCAGTGGAATTGCTCAGTGGATTAAGATGCTTGCCATAAAGCCTGACAGCCTGAGTTTGATCCCCAGAACCTACATGGTAGAAGGAGAAAACTGATTTTTGCAAATTGTCCTTTGACTTCCACAGGTGATACATAGCACAGGTGCTCCCCTTAAATAAATACATGTAATTAAATTCTTTACTAATAAAAATTATACTTGATTATATAAGGCTATTTTCATACAAGTATATAAATGTACTTTGAGCATATTCCATTTTCCTTTCTCACTCTTTTTGGTCTAGTTAGTCTCCATTGTTTCCCTAGACAGTTTCACTGCTGTTTTATGTTATCTGTTTATGTAAAATTTTGTGTATCCATATGTAATCTGAGACAAACAAATGAGAGAAAACAAGAAGTATTTGCCTTTGGGGGACTGACTTAATTTACCCCCTGTGATTATCTCCACTTGCATCTATTTTCCTACGAAGAACATAGCTTCATTCTTCTTTATGGATAAAAACATCCATTGTGCATATAGGCCACAAGGAAACAGACTTCCTCTATATTTTCTTATTTACTCGTTTGGGGAGGGGTGTGCTCATGTGACATGACACTTGTATGGAGGTCAGAGGTTAGGTCTCTCCCTCCACCATGTGGATTCCAAGGGTTGAATCAGGTCTTCAGAACTGGAGCAAGCACCTTGCCCACTGAGCAATCTGACCTGCCTGAAGACAGATTTTTTTTTTTGGTTTTTCGAGACAGGGTTTCTCTGTGGCTTTGGAAGCTGTCCTGGAACTCGCTTGGTAGTCCAGGCTGGTCTCGAACTCACAGAGATCTGCCTGCCTCTGCCTCCCGAGTGCTGGGATTAAAGGTGTGCGCCACCAACACCTGGCACGAAGACAGATATTTTTATGTGCAAGTTACAATGCCCCCAAGGGCACTTTTCATGAACTTGGTATTTGTAATACAGGTTCTAATAGGTCTTAACAATAAAAGCCTGGAGTCAGATATTAGGTGATGAAAGCTAAAAAATTTGAGAAACAGAGCAGCCAGACACTAGAGCTCTTACCTCTATAAAATCCTCAGACTGAAAAGACCTAGTTCCTGTCTCATCCCGCCTATCCCTCTCTCCACCCAGCTCTCACCTCCTGTCTTGTCTGTACAGACCTTCAGAGGTCTACGGTTAACTAGTGGCTAGCTCTGCCCTCTGATCTGCAGGAAAGCTTTATCAGTGAGGGCAAGATCCTCTTACTCCTCTGCCATAAATTCCGAATTGTCTGCTCTCCCTCTGTGCTTCTCATATGTTCAGGTAGACTACCTGCCTATTTTTCCTGAAGGCCTCTGTCCTCTAGAGTGAAAAACACTCTGGTTTGAGTTTTGGCTCTTACCCTCTTTTAATTGTAATGATCTGAGAAAGTACTCAATAATGGATGTCCAACAGGTGTTTATTGGCTAGTTAGCTGGCTGATTTGTTGGTGGGTGGATGGATGAGTGGGTGGAACAAACAAACTTTATGGTGATTACACTGACATTCAAGCCAGCATGGAAATGTCTGAATCTTACTGTTCTGTTTTTATTAGATGATAATGAAAAAAACTTGTCGCTTGGTCTTCAGACTCTTAGATCCCTGAAGGTAGGACAGACTCTACTTCTCCTGTGATCCGTTCCCTCAGAGGCAGGGACTGAGAGTAGCATCACTGACAAGTGACCAGTGATCTTCCTTTGTTTTTAGTGTATCATAAATTTGGACAAGCACCGGCTGATCGTTGGGAAGACAGAAAAAGAAGAAATCCCTTTTGTGGAGACAGTTTCTTTGAATGAAGACAAGTGAGTACAGAAGCCAGCCAGTGAAGTCAGATCTGTCTATTATGAGTTGTGGTTATAGCCCACTGTTAGTTTTCAGTCATAGCAGAAGTCTGCCCTTCTAAGAACCAGACCAGAGTTCCCCTGTCCCACGGAACTCTGTAGTTCACATGTTATAATAATAATGAGAACACACAGTTTTTAAAGGTAGAGTTGTGTGTGTGTAACAAAATTTCAGTATATAGCCCAGGCATGGATTGAGGTGTGAGGTAGAAATGAGGGCATTGAGATAAGGTTTTAGTATGTAGCCCAGGCTGGTTTTAAATTCATGAGCCTCCTGCCTTAGCCCCCTAAGTGCTGGGATTATAGGTGTGTGCATGAGGAGTTTTAAAGCTACTTATTTGCCTTCGGATTAACTTTTTTGAATTTTCTATTAATTCTTTGCTTCTTTCTCATTTCAGCACGTCAGAAGCATAATTGCAGTGGAGCGTGTCTGCATGTGCACACACACCAGGTTGACAGACTGAGAAAACCGGGTTTGAACTAAATGCAGTAGCAACTTGCTCTGGACCAAGTCCTTCCCTCCAGTACACCCTGCAGGGGCTTCTTCCCACTCAGACCTTTCTAGACTATAGTCTGTGCTTAGAGATCTTGTCTGGTTAATGGCTTAATGGTTAAATAGCCATTGATTTTTTTTTACTTCTTTGAATATTTAATTTATAGACCCTTTTGACACTGCCAGGTCTCGTTTGTGGCTTATTTCTCTGCTTATTCCAAGAATTTTCTTTTTATTGGTCCAGTGTAGGGGCTGCCAGGTTCTATTTCTCCACAGATAACACTTAATTTTTAAATAGTAAAATATATAGTAAATAGGAACCTCTTTTTAGCTGTTTCAAAGAGATATAGAAACATGTCTTGAAGTTATTAGAGTCTCTTCTAATGAAGTAATTGATTTTTCCAATGTGAACTGATAGATGTCTCAGAGAGGTCATCTAGTCCAGACAATCCAGTTAAACGCACAGACAGGCAAGTGAATTGTCTAAACTTACATATTAAGTCAGTAGCAGAAGACAGCCAGAATCCAGCCTCACATCCAAACCAAGGCTCTTGTGTTGCTTCACTTTTCCCCGAGCCTTAAGAGGAAGGCAGCAAGGATAGAGTGCAAAACAGAGGGTACTGATGTGGTTAGTGGTGGAGTGCTTGTCTAATGCACACAAGGTCCTAGGCTCAATTGCCAGCACTAGAGGTAGAGACAGATGGCTTGGTGACTAAGAGTGCTTGCTGTGCAAGCATGAAGACTGCCATTTGGATCCCAGTACCCAAACAAAAGTTGGGCACAGCCCTACACACCCCTGTGATCCCAGAACTGAGGGTGTTGAAGACAGGATAACTGTTGGGACTTTCTAGCTTTTGGTCTAGCCAAGAGAGGGAGAGAAAGAGGGAGAGGGAGAGATTTCTCCAGAGACCCTGCCTCAAAGGAACAAAGTAGAGAGTGACAGAGAAATAGAGGCCACCCAACATGTTCCTCTGGCCTCTGTGAGCGTGCACAGGTGCACAGCTCCACATACACTCCTACAAATCCCTACATGTACCCTCTCATAGACATACATCACAGAAGATAATGAGATGGGGGATAAAACACAGGCTGCAAAGATGAAACTGTCTCTCACAGTGAACTTAACAAGAGAAAAAAGAAACCATGTATAGGAAGGAATATTAGCTCCAGACATGCTATAGATGATCTAATTGTCACTATGAGATATTGATTACCCCTAAGAACCAGCTAGAATTTCTGTCTATTTTGTTTCATATCAAAAAGATTCAAGTATCTGGAAAGAGGGGTAGAAAGGAAAAATAAAAGTCAAGTAGGGCCAGAGTAGAAGGGAGGAGACTGAGTACACTCAGTCAGTGGGAGAGCCTACCTGGGAAGCTCCCTGGGATTGAAATAAGGAGTGAATCATCCAGGCAGGGAATTGAAGATTGGGAAACCTCTCAGTACAAGTCAGTGTTATGAACCATTAAGAGCTGGGTGTGGCACAGGCCTTCAATCCCAGCACTCAGGAAACAGAGTATGACACCAGCCTGGTCTACAAAGTGAGTTCCAGGCCAGTCAGAAATACACAATCTCAAAAGACAAATAAACAAAATAAAACAGAACAATCGTTATAACTGCCCAGGATTTCCTGACCCATCTCAGTGGTTTGGGGAAATCACAGGGAGGACATTATTGTTTTTTTGGTTTTGCTAGTGTGTTATCTCAGGCATAGAGATACCTATAATGGAATCTCCCCTTCAGTTCAGTTATAGAAGTATTTGGCTAGTCAGAAAACTATCCAACTGTGAGTATCCCTTCAAGATATTCCTAAGTCTACCCTTGGCTCACAGCAGTTGGCTAGTGTCCCAGCCATCAGCCTGCCTATGAGAGACCAATGTGCCCTTTCACTGAGGCCTCCCTGCTCTTGTGTTCATCACAGCACCACACGGCCTGCTTCTCATAGGCCAGGGCTGGAAGATGTCACCCCCCTCCCCATTTCCCTACTTGAGACTTCTACCCCAAGCCCAGACTCTTGGCTGCAAGGGAAGCATACTGCAGGCTCCTTCTAGTGTCTCCTTATTTGAATTTCTTGCGATCAGCAGTTCTCAGGTTCTTGAAAGATGCATTTGATCCTGGCTCTTTTGAGTTCAGCACTGTGTGGCACTAGGATGATTAGATGGCTTTTAGTGTTCTTTCTGGTCTGTGAAAGTCAGTCAGTGTTTTTTTAATTTGAAAATAGAAATAACTGGGGTGAAATGGACTCCATGTCATAGTTTGCTCAGCTCATTCAAATCATCTGAAGTTTTTAGCCAATTATTTTAATTCCCAGGAGCAATACAGACACCCAAAATACTTGAAGATAATTATAAGAAATCTTGAGGTTCATTAATGCTTATTTTGTTTTTTTTGAGACAGGATCTCATTTTGTAGCCTTGGCTGGCCTGGAACTCAGTATGTAGGTGAGGCTGGCTTCAAACTCATAGAAATCTGCCTGTCTCTGCCTCCTATCATTCATGCTTTTTAAATGCTGTCAAATTAGTTACTCTTGTAGCTTCTGTCTCCCAAGTATTCATAAAAGGATACTGGCTCTGCTTTGGGGAGCTAGCAAAGTAAGAAGACAAATAAGTTTTTCTTAGTCAGAAATGTAGTGTTTCTAAGGGTGTAAGAAAGCGTCCATCACATCAGTCTGTGGGAAATAGTAGCTGACCTGTCTCATTCCTTCATAGATGTCACATCCAGGAAGCTGAAGGAGGAATATTTTCTGCCTTTCCTTGTTCCTTGCTCTGCACACAGCCCACTAGTATGGTTTTCTGTTCCCTGTCTCAGAGCATCTATAGATGGGATTACCTAGCTACCTTTGCTCTTGTGTAGTACAAATACCTTTTCAGGCTGGGGACATGGAGGAGATGAACTGGATTCCTCCTTCTGTTGCCAGGTCTCTCTGCATTAGCACTTTATCTGCTCAGTGTTTCTGGCTGTACTGGGCTTCTTTGTGACACTGATATATCAATAAACTGGAACCTTTCCCTCTGTGTGCTTGTCTGATGGTCTTTGTGCCAGGGTCCCCACCTGGAAAGTGGAGGAGTCAGGGCACAGCCTAACTGCTTCGGCTTTCTGCTTTAAGGCCTTCTGAATTCGAGGCTTTGTGGGTTTCAGCTCAACTGCTGTTACTGCTTTGGACAGATAGTGCATCTCACTGAACTTGGCTTTGTTTCTATAAGACAATTAGAAAAAGTACTGAATCCACAGTGTAAAGTGTTGGGTAGTCACCAAGTCTTCATCTGCAAGAACAATCTTTTATGTTGAACCCGTCCCTGGATAGTAACAACTCACAAAAGCTGTCACTGTTATCCCATCCAGCCCAACCTTCTACTACCTACATTTTCCTAGCACCCTGCCCCCAAAACCACATCATCTGAGACAGGATTTGTGCCTCTGGCAGCAGGGAGGGGAGATGAGGTCTTTGAGCTGGAGAGATGGCTCAGAGGTTAAGAGCACTGGCTGCTGCTCTTCCAGAGGTCCTGAGTTCAATTCCCAGCAACCACATGATGGCTCATAACCATCTGTAATGAGATCTGGTGCCCTCTTCTGGCCTGCAGGGATACATGAAGACAGAGCACTGTATGCATAATAAATAAATAAATCTTAATAAAATAAAAAAACATTTTAAAAGGATGAGGTCTCCATGGGAAGGTCTGGAGCAGGTAGTCACAGCTGCTCTGATTTCAAGATGACAATGGCTGGATGACTGGAGAGATGGCTTAATGTAGTGGTTAAGGGCACTGGCTGCTTCTGCATCAGTTACAACTGTTTTGTTATTTTAGGAACCCAAGAATTTAGCAGCCACAGTAGCATCAACAGCTCTGGAAACAGAAATGACATTCTGGCTACAAGATTACTGGTACTATGATGGGTACTAGTCAGTAATAACATGTATGGTAAAGCATTTTTAATGTGTTTCAGAGTGCGGAAAACCTTTTTTTAAGGAAACTAAATGAGAAGGGCAAACTGACAGGTACACATGATACAGTGATCACTTGGCTCCTCTTGTCTTCCTAATCATTGCCCACAAGAGAATTTTTTGGGCTTTACTGAGAGATGAGATTACCCTGGTCTGTTAGTCAAGAGGAATGGAGTAAGGGCTGGGGACAGTGTTTAGTGGAAAAGAACTTGCCTAGCACATGGGAGGTTCTGGACCCAATCTCTAGTAGGTAAAGGAAATAAGAAAGGGACTAGGAAAATCTACTTTCAGGGAACCCAGGACAAGGGCAAGGAGGAGGATGGATGTTCACATGAGTGCAGGTGTAAACAAAACAGCTCTAAAGTGATCCTGGTCAGAGGTCTTTCCTCACCTACCTCAGTTCCCCAGGTTCTGCCATTCGCACTTCGGGCATCTCGGTCTCGTCTCTGTCTCTCCGGTTGGAAAGAAATCAAACAAGGACTCAAGTACCTGTTATCCCTGTGACAACCAAAGGAATTTTTTTCCTTCCCCCTTTCTCTTTCCCTGATGCCCACATTAATGCTTAGATCTTAGTCCCCAACTCCAAAGATACTAAGACAAAAGTTCCTATGCACAAAGGCCCACAAGATTTTGGTCGGGGGCAGGGAGCACAAATGCATATATGAGAACACAATTTTACCATAAAGAAGTAAGTTAGGAAAGAGATCTGCAAAACCACAGACAGCTATACGTGCCAAGGAAGGTTTTCTGGCATTAAAGATCCATGAGCTTCATGAAAAAGTCATACACATATAAGCAGCACAGGGCAAGAGGAGCCGGGCCTTCCAGTTCTGTTAAAGTCAGCTGAAATTATATTCATTTTTGGTAGATATAACTTCTCCCAAACCCTCACTATACCTGTGCTAATTTCTCCCCATACCTGCTCTTGTTACCTTAAACTAAATCTCCAGTCTATGGTCAGTTACAATCCACTAATGACTGCCACATTGTGTTTGCTAGAACAAAAAATTTTCCAGTAGCCACACTGAGGGTTTTTTTTCTACAGAGAAATTTATTATTTTAATACAATGTATTCAAAATATTTAAATGTTAATAATTATTTAGCATTTTTATTTTATGTGTATGAGTGTTTTGCCAGCATGTATGAATGTGCATCACAGAACGCAGAGCCACTGGGGAACAGAAAAGAGGAACCACACCCCTAGAACTGGAGTTACAGAAGGTTGTAAGCTGCCATGTGGGTGCTGGAAACCAAACTCTGCAAGAGCAGCACTGCTGAGTCATCTCTCCAGCCCCAACTTTAGTCAGTATTTTTTAAAAAGACTGTGTGTGTGTGAGTGTGTGTGTGTGTGTATTTCTCTCATGCTAACTTTGAAATAAGTCTGCAGTTACAGAATAGCTCAATTTAGATTATTTACATCTCAAATGTTCATTGGCACATGTAGCTCTCCAATTCTGTCCATACTGAGTGTATCTGATGCTTCTTCACTAAAACAGATGAGGTGGTCCTGACTTGGGGACCCACTGTAGTCTGTATTAAGGAGGCTGAGGGAGAAGGAGCACTTGAGCTCACAAATTTGAGACAGCATGGGCAAAGAACAAAATCAGCCTGGGGCGCTGTTGTCATCCTCTAAGCCTTTGCACCCCCATCAAACCTTTGAAAAGAATTCTGAAGGAGGCACACAGGAGGGTTCCTATGCTTTATCTTAAGAGCACACACTCCTTTTAGATGTCAGACTTACAGCTCTACGCTGATCCAAATTGGCTACCTAGGTCAGCTTTTAGCTATGAGCTCCACAATGCCTCACCAACAAATTTCATACTGACAGTCCTTCCATTAGCAGGACACCACTTAGAAGGACTTGAATTATCCCTGATGTGACAGCATCTTCACAAGAACTGGTGAGATGCATCCAGTCCTGCTGATTTCACTCTGGGACAGTTGCCATTTGAACTAAAAAGAGCTAGATATATTTAACTTTACAGCCCTTTGTGCTAGGTTCCCGTCTAGCATCAACAAGAAACATACAGTAGAAAAATACTGAGAAAATTCTACCCAGTAATTAAAACATTTTCACCAACCAGGAAAGGACCACTTTTAAAAAATGGTTATCTTGGGAGTAGATTTTGAAATTCATAGGATTCAATTCCCTCTTTTTGAAGGGAAGGGATTTTCCTGATGACATTCAGCAAACACCTAGAGGTTGTGATGAGCACAGCACGCTGCGTCCTTTCCACTACCCTCTCTACTAAGTTTACACACATATATATGTATGTATGTACACACACACACACACACACAGTTTTAGAGGCACTGCGTCCTCCCCCAGGGTGCTCCTAAAGTACCAGCAGAAGACACTTCAAAGAGTAGGGTCAGCGCTCCCCGAACTGAGGGGTCGACTGTTTTAAAAAAGGCCTTGCGGCACAGGAGCTTCAGTGCCTGGATTCTCCACCCCAAGTAGTCCTAGGCTGGCGGGGTGGGGGTGGGGGATGCTACCGGGGCGGTCCATACGTAGCGGAGCCAGACTTGAGCCAGCCCAGCTCCACAGTCGTGGCCCACTTCCCAGCCCCAAGCCGCACCAAGGCGGTCAGCCCTTAGTGGAAGCCACACCCACGTGGGCAGCCCACAGCGACCGTTGGGAGTCCCGCAGGGAGCTGAATCCGAGAGGCGCACGGAGCGCAGGTTAGTCCCAAAGCCCGGGAACCAGAGCTCCGACTCTCCGCCTCCGGGTGGGCTTCGGAGCTCCGGGCGCTCGGCCACTACTCCCGGCTAGTTCTCCACGCGCAGCACCCACACGGCCTCCGCAGTTCCCGGGAATGGCGCTCACCCGGCCTGCGGGACTCGGCCTGCGTGACCTGCTCCCCGGAGCCGCAGGACTCGCCAGCCCTGACCGGGACAGACCCCAGACTGTAGTGTAGTGTAGCCCGGTGGCCGCGGCCGCGGCGGGCCCGGCGCACCCGGAACCGTTTCCGGGGCGGAGGCTTTCTCGCAGCTGACCCGGCGCGGACGGTGACGCGCTGTCCCAGGCGGAAGTGCGGGCGGAGGATCCCGAACTGGATCCCGAGCCGGGCGCGGGGCTCGGGGCTCGCTGGGGCGGCTGGCTCCCGCGATGGCGAGCCTGTGGTGCAGAGGCCTACTGCGGCTGGGCTCGGGGCTCAGCGTGTCCTGCCTGGCGCTGGCCGTGCTGCTGTTCCCGCAGCTGACAGGCGCCGCCAAGGTGAGTCCCGCCCCGCCAGGCTCCTGACAGGAGCTCCGCCCCTGCCTCTGGCCTGGCTGATACTGGGGCTGCCCACTTGCTCCCCACTCCCGGATTCTCCTAATCCGACAGCCAGATCCCCTGCTTCACATCCCGGACCAGCCCTGCCCAGAGCTTCCTAACCCTCAACCCCTGACAGTGCCTGGAGCCGGGTCTGCAACTCCTCCTTCACCTCCTGACTTCTCCCTTCCCATCCCCGACAACACACACCCGGAACTTGAGATTTCCAGCCCTGGGAGCTTTGAACTTTCCACCCTTAAACTCTGGCAGCCCACTCTGACCCTTCACCAGCCCTCAGGCCCCAACTCAAATCATGGGAAGCCCTCACCTTCATGAAGTCTTCCCTACTAGGGACTAGCTCCTCTCAACTAATCCATGAGCAGATTCCATTGCCTTGGTGGGGGCTCGCCTCTCGTGGCAACCACTCCTTCCCAGGAGGACCTAGAGAGTCATTTCACCAGTCTGATACTCTCACCCAGCCCCCCTCCAGAAAGGAAGACACACACACACACACACACACACACACACACACACACACACACACACACACACACACACATCCCTCCCTCCCTCTTTGTGTTTCTTAACCGTTCTGGTCCCTCATGTTGTTATCTGTTGCCCAGAGCTGCCATGACCTAAGAAAACTCGTGCTTTCTTCCCAGTGAGCTAACTCCTTTTGGGGGCAAAATAGGAAGAATTCACGGTGTAGTGGGGTAAATGACACTGCATTTTTAAAAGGAGTTTTATGATATCTTTAAATATTATAAAGGGCTGGGAAAGACAGGTTACAGGAATGCAGATGTTTTTGGTGAGG